ATTATGTAAAAAGTTTTCATTAAGTCTAATAAAGATAAGAGCATGGTCTCACCTTTAACATTAAAAAAAAAAAAAAATAATCATATATTCAAAGTGACCATAATAGATGCAGAAAGCAGTCTTTTATTCATTGCCTAGGCAAATTCGTACCAAATTGTAGGCACCTCTAAGGTCTATTTTGGTAAATATTTTTGCAATAGCTAGACGGTCTAGTAACTTTGAGATAAGAGATAAAGGATATCTGTTTTTTATAATAACATTATTTAGTTACTTGAAATCTATGCAGAGGTGCAACGTTCTATCTTTCCTCTTGATGAATAGGATGAGCACTCCTGCTAGTGATTTCGAGTACCTGATAAATTCTTTTTCTAAATGCTTCTCAATATATTGTTTAAGTATTTTTAATTTTTGTTCTGATAATCCATAAATAGGTCTCCATGGTGGTTGAGCTCCAGAAAGTAAATCAATAGCACAGTTATAGGGTCTGTTTTCCAGTAATCTGTTAGCTTTCTTTTTACTAAATATATTATTAAAGTCTTGATATTTGTTAGGTATAGTCATCTGGGCATTAGAGGTAGAGACTGCTAGTGCTGGAAAAACTTGTATTATATATATTCTGTTCTGATTTTTGGTTTCTGGAGGCACAGCTTCTATGATCTGTTTGTTGCTAAGATACTTGGTACAGGAAAAGCTTGGAAAGATGAAAAAACATTCTTTTCAATCAATTTTAGAGTTGTATGTCACTAGCCAAGACAGACCCGGAATAACCTTGTAATGGAGAGAAGACATAAAATTGAAAAAGATAATCTCTTGATGATTTTGTAACCAAAGCTGCAGGGGGTTCTGTTTCATGAGTTACAGTCCCAAAAGCATCTTCTCTTCTATTAATTACCTCAACTAAAAGAGGTATAGGCTTCTCAACCATAGGTATGAAATAATTTTGGGCCAGAAAAGTGTCTAAAAAACAAGATGATGCTCCTGAGTCTAATAATGCTATGGTTGTCACACTAGTTCTATTCTGGAATTGTAATGTTATTGTGAAAATTAAAGCCTCGGCGGTTCCAACAGATAGCAAGGTTGTAGGGATATTTCTATATGATTGGTCTAGCCACAACTTCCTTATTGTGACTAGGGCTTCTCTTTTCCTAAGTCTTTTTGAGTTACTGCTGCTGTATCGATTTTTTGTTTCTCTTTGTTACCCTTTCTGAGATAGTTTCTAATGATATGTCCCAAGCCTCCACAATACAAGTACAGATTATTGATGCGATATTGTCTTTTCTCTTTTTCAGATAAAGTTTTAGGCCTAACAAAATCAATTTGCATTGGTTCTGGGGCTTGAGTTTGGTTGGTATCTGAAAGTTAAAGCTGAGTTCAATTTACACTAACATTTAGTGTTGGCACTTGAACTATGTCTAATAAAAATTTTATTTGAACTTGGACAAATATAGACATGGACTAGTCCAAATAGTGTCTATGTTCATATTTTCTTTTTACCAAATTTTTCAGGATATTTCAGTTCTTTACTTTTATTCTTTCAGAATATTTCAGAGTAGCAAGCCCATGTGTTTGATTTGGACTAAGTGCCTTATGTCCAATAGAAAATTATAGACAATATAGACATAGTCTATAAATGTCCTGTCTAATGGTCCATATTGTCCATGTTTATATTTTGCCAACACTGCCAACATCAGACTAACGTTCTTGTTGTCATTCAAAAAGTCAGTTATCACATCTCACAGCATTTTTAATAGCATCATCAATAGAGGTAGGATCTGCTATTATAAAAAGCAAATCTTTTATATCATCATAAAGATCTATGCAAAATTGATCAATTAACATTGCTTTGTCTCAGTTTAAATCTTCTCAATTAACTGGAACTCAGAAGCATAACTTGATACCGATTTGGATTATTGGTAAGTTTTTGAATCCTGTTTGCAGCTGTCCTGACTTTATCTGAGTTTTTAAAGGTAGCTTCAAATGTTTGGACAAACTTATCAAAATTCTTAGGCAGGGGCGAGGTGTTTTCCAATAAGAGTGCGAACTATATAAGAGCTGAGCCTGTCAGTAAACTTCTAATCAAACCAACTGAAGTAGCATCATTGGGGTAACGCTATGGCTGTAGTTGTATAATAAAACATATTTGATTTAAAAATCCACAAAACTTGGTACGTGATCCGTTAAATTTATCTAGTAGGCTTATTTTAGGTATTATTTGTCTGTCTTCGTTAGGGTTTTGTATAGCAAGCTGATCGACTATTCTTCTCAAGGCTTCATTTTCTTGTTAAAGTGCTTAGTTATCCTGTTGAATCTGCTATAATACTGCTATGATGGCATTAAGATCATTTTGTTCAAGTAGATCTTCTATAATGTTAAATATTTTTTTTTTTTTTTTTTGGGGTAAATATTTATAAAAAAAAGGCAAGATATTAGTTTAGTCTACTTAAACTGTTATGAACTGGGCTTCAGGGTTTTTATTTGCAAGGCAAGTAATTATTTTATTAAGCAGACTAAAGATCGAAGTTTACAAAGATCCTTATTTATATGTATTACTACTACTTCTAATCGAATTTAATACCTATTATCTAATTACTAACTTATGACTATATTTTTTATATATATTAATTAATTACTAACTTATGACTATATTTCTTATACACATTAATTAATTGCTAACTTATGACTTCATTCCATCATTCTGGGTCGTAACTGTACTCCAATTCGAATATGATTAATGGATCATATGTTTACGTGATTTCAGTTTCAGTCTTAATCTTAATTGTAATAAAGGCTACAGTATATTAAAGAGGGTGTTAAATTCTTTTTGGTGAGGTGGCTATATTTCTTTATTACATGAAAATGATTTAAAAAAGCTGTGTATAAATAGTTAAATTTAAATTAGATTGCAAGTGATAAGTTATAAGTGGTAGGCTATATAGCAAACTTGTATTTGAAAAACTATAAGAGTTTAGTTTTATTTTAAAAAGCCTTTAATATTTTGTTGTTGTTTTATAGTTTAGAATTATAAAGTCTATTTTTTCAGCTAAGCTTTTGGTGATTATCTGGTTTCAAAGTACTTGTTATAGGGATGTTCTGATCTGGTATGGTCCAGTCCTGGTTCAAAAGACTGGTCTGAGTTGCAGACCATGAACCAGACCACGATTAATAAACTAGTTCTATAGACTGGTCCATTAAGCAGTTTGGTTCAAGACTAGTTTTGGACCGGTCTATTTTAGCCAATAAAAATTCAAATTTCTAATAAAAAAAAAATACTTGGTGCATATGTATACAAGTTAAGATATTCTAAAATAATACTAGCTAAAAAACTTTATTTTTTTATTGTGTAAAGCCATTAACTCAGAATATGATTTGTTGGTAATAATTTATATTCATAAGTTTTAAGCCAGATCAATCTTAATTTACAGTACTTTTTTTTTAATATATATAAAAGTTAGATCAGAATCATAATTACATATATTTTAACTTTACAAGGTAATAATTTTTTTATATACCTCTAGTGGCAACGAACAAAATGTTAATTGTTATTGCTTTTTAAATGAATAAAAATACTAGTATTGTTAAGTTGGGAAGTGAAAATTCATTAAAGATCTCCAAAAGGATAAAAGGTAAGATTTACAAATTTAAAGTCATTTTAAAGATTGTTTATATGCTAATATGTTTTATAAGCAAAGATAGAAGATACAATATATATAATGATAACAATGTTTTAGACTAATTACAGGGAATGTTTTTTTTTTTCAATTTTTTTTTTTTTTTTTTTTAGTTTCAATTTTCACCTACTCTATTACTAATTCAGCTTTTAACACACAGACATGCTCTTGCTATTTTTAGGTGAAGGTGATTATGAGTTCTTGAAATAGTATTGCCAGCTATCAAAAAGGCATTGTTATATTAGCGATATATTAGTATTTTTAAATTTTTATTAAGTAACTCCGTGTAACATCTAATTGTAGTACAAATCTGATTCCACCAATGGAATCCTTGATATTGATTTCCTTAGCGTAGTTTTTACCATTTGT